GAATCGAGAAATGTGTTAGATAAACAATGTAAAGAAAACAAATAAGATACAAGGGAAAAAAAATAATAAAATAAATAAGTAAAAAATAATAAAAGTAATAATTATATATAGTAATATTTGAAAAAAGAAAAAAAATATAAATATATATATATATATATCAAAGTATTAATAAAATAATAAGCTATATATACACTAAATACTTAAAAATAGAAAATCTACCCTCCCAATTCACCGAAAGTGGGGGGCTTTAGTAAGAAATAAGACAAAAAAAATGGACCATCTAGGTTAGTAGTATATAATATAATGTTTAATAATGATAATGATAAAGACACAATATTTTTTTCAAAGAAAATATAATATAATAAATGAATAAAAAAACAAAAATAATATAAATAATATAAAATTATAAAGTTATAAGATATATTACATAAATAAAGAAATAATCTAATAAAAATAATTAAGAATATATATTTAATAATAGGTATATAAATAAACTATTAAAAGTATAAAAATATACGACTAGATAAAGATAATTATAATATATATATAGTAATATTAGACTTATAAGTAAAATATTAAATAATATATATATATAATAATAATAAAATAGTAAAAAATAAATGAAAATAATTTTATATATATATACATATAATAATAATAACATGAATAATAAAAATAAATGAATAAAATATTCATATAATAAATAAAGGGACTAATATAGATTTTTTTAAAAAGTTCTTCCCCTCCTTTAACCGAAAATCAAACCGGTTTTTAAAAATAAGCCTCGGGGTAGATCTAGGTTCGAAACTTCGAAACCCCACCCATTTTGGTCATCGGCGCAACCCACGTTTTGGGTTATTCGAACCAAATCTCAAGAAAAATAACGTGCACATGCAAAAGAAAGAAAAAAGAAAATGCTACCTTTTATTTATTTTTCGAATCCTTTACAATAGTTTTACCTTTGTATCTTCCCGTGCTTTCCTCTATGTTTTATGTGTAAATCGTCCGTTACAATGGTGAGTTACAATGGCTATTTATAGTGCTTGTGGATCCTATCTTTAGGAATTTAAATAATAGTAGAACTCTATCCTATTTTTAGGAGTTTGAATCCTAACAAAATTTCATCCTATTTTTAGGAGTTTGAATCCTGAAATTCTATCCTATTTTTAGGAGTTTGAATCCTAGTAGGACGAAAAATGTGTGTTGACACCTTGCTATTAGAAGGGACTAATGATTTGAGAGTCGTAAATCGTTCATTTATTTTTTTTTGGTCGCCTCCTCTCCAACAAGATGTGATTTCCGCAAGTATCGTCTGCCTCCGGTCTCCAAGCTGCATCTCCAACATCATTATCATGTGGAGATTGAAGCAATTCTTTATCAGGCATCCTAGGAACTTCGAAAAATATCTTCTTCGGTAACTTTTGAGGGGTTTCATCTTTTAATTTCTGAGATTTCACCAAGCCGTTTGTTTTCCAGCTGACAAAGCTCGATTCCTTATTCAAGTTTCGGACGTGCAGTCCCAAAATCAACTGGTGCGAGGTCTTTAACAGGGCCGACAGAACGGTTCGGTAATGTAGATCATCATTTACAGGATCTAAAGTGGCCAGTTTTGTTCGACCGCGCACTCTCCGACTTCTTTCAACCCGTTATTGTTACCATTTTCACCCTGGCACAGAGGAACATTGTAACAACCCGAAAATTTTAAAATAATATTTAATTGGGAATTGAGGTTTTAATTGAGTAATTGGTGAAAATTTGGGGACTAAATTGGAAGTTTTTAAAACTTGAAGCTTGTTTAAGAGTTAAAGAAAATTCAGGGACCAAACCCTGAATTTACCCTAAAATGTTAGGTAAGGGCTATTATATACGTGAATTGGTTTCTGATTTCAGAAACCAATTCTTCCCAAATTCCCTCTCCCAACCTCAACTGCCGACGATAATCCCGACGCCGTCCGAATTCCGATCGTCATTTTAAAACCACCATCGTGTTCATCATCAAGCGAGGAACAAACCCTTCAATTTAATTGAAGCGAAACGCTGCCAAACGTCGTGAATTTCAAGTTAAAGCATCGACGTTTTTTTTTAAGCTCAATCGCCTAGAAAATCCTAAATTCATCGCCGATCGTTGCTCCTTTTACGACACCTCCCGCACCATCGTGTTCCTTGTGCCGTTCCGAGTCCGCCGGTGTCATCCTCGATCTCCGTTGACGGCGGCGCGTGGGGAGGTGGATCAGTCAAAGATTCGGCCGAGTCGAAATCGAGCTCTCCGCCGTTCAAAAATTTGAACCGATCTTTGTAAGTATCTCGAAATCGCTCAAAATAATTTTTAGAAATTTTTCCGTGATTTTTAGAGCCCCGGAGGACGTCGCACGCGCCCACACGCGCCGCCGCAGGCGAGTGAACGCTGGAAACCGGTTTTGACCGGTTTGACCGGTCACGACCCGTTTACCCGTTTACCCGACCCGTTGACCCGACCCGACCCGACCCGTTGACCGTTGACCGGTGCTATTCTGGGAATTAATTCGGTTTTGGTGTTATTCTGGGAATTAATTCGAAATGGGTGCTATTTTTGGTAATTTTTTAAAAAGGGTGCTATTTGTGTAAAATGTTTGACAGTTTGTTGACTTCCTTTGACCAGAACTTTGACCGGCTTTGACCAGCTATTAGACGACCTTTGTTTTGACCAAGATACCTATCCTGATAGTTTTCGACGTTCCGAATCCGTTTTTGGGGTCCGTTTTGCTAAATTCAAACCCGAAAGTCTCCAAATCGTCAGTCAACCCCGTTGACTTTAATTTTGACCAAGAATTCGAAATTTCGGAAGGTCATACTTTATATTTTTTGACGTCCTGAATTTGATTCCGAAGTCCGTTTTGCCAAATTCTGACCCGAAATTCCCGAATCGAGCTTGTAAACCCAAAAGGCTTAATATTTTAATATTTTGATTATTTAAATGAGATTTGGTCAAGGATTTATTCAATAAAATATTTTATGAAGGTACTCGTGTTTCACCTGAACAAGGATCAATTAGGTCCGGTATTATCCGTTCGTTAGATCAGCCTGAACCGCGTACTACGAGAATTACCCGTAGGTTTCTGTATATATTAAATAATATTTAGATTATTTATATTAGGATTCCAATATGGATTTTTCCAATTCGTAGGATCTAGCGCTGCAGTAAACGTGATCGACAGACCCAGCAATAGGCTTCCCTATCTGATTTCTCAGACTGTTACAGGTGTGTTTCCGACAGTGTTAATTATTTCTGTTTTAAAATATACATCTGAACATTATGTATATGACATCTGATTTGCCACATATTTCTGAAATGAATTCTGGTTACGGTATTTTATACCGATCTTCTGAATATTGAATATTCGATATCTGAAATTCTGTACTACTGACTTGTCTTCTGATTTCCGTATTTCTGTATATTATTGTTAAGCATGAACACTTTATGTTTTAAAGATTTAATCATTGTTTTCATTCAAATACATTCTGAACATCTCCATCATTGGGGGGTATCGTTGAAGGAAGTATATCGTAGGTTCCTCGGCTTTGGCTCAGGGCCTTATTTGTTGTGTGGGCTGGTGTATGGTTCTGGGGAACCTACACATTCTGTTGTGATGGGCTGGGGGTAGTGTTCATATTTTTTTTTACGACATGATTGCATAAACCGACTTTACTGGAATATTTTATCAGTATGTTTTTATATACACTGTATGGAACACACTGGGCTTTTAGCTCATTCTGTAGTTTTTTTACCATTTTTCAGATAACAGCAGACCATAAGCTAGCAGATTTGGCATCAGGAAAATCAACTACTTTATTTGTACGAACATATTTTCTATATGTTTTTTCGGTTTGTTTGGTGACATGTATTTTATTATCGTTTTGGACATATTTGTATTATTAATATTATGTTCTATATTATATTTATCGTCCTATAAGTGGAAAAAAAAAACCTCTGAATGGGATATGTGACCACTTAGGTTTGGGTCTAACTCACAGACCGGGTCTAGGGGGGTTACAAACATCTCCAAGATCCGCCAAGGTTTGAGATATGAAGTCACTGGAATTCAAGGAATGGAGATCATCCATGAATTGCCAACTTTGTACCTGAGAAGTCCTATCATTTATCCCATCAATCATAAATGGATCTTCTGCTGGTTGGTTTGGCTCGATTCCATCTGAACTGTTGATCGGAGAAACCATTTCTAGTTGCTCACAGCCTAAAACAGGACTCAGTTCAGTATCGAGAGCCGAACAAGCAGGATCTTTCTTGTTCCGAATTGTTGCATCAACTCGTATGGATTTATTTGGAACAATCGTCTGTGGAGAATCCAAGAACAAACTTTTAACGCGATGAATGAGACTGAGGTCTTCCGGTACCTACAGAATGCAATCAACATAACAGCATGCCTTGAAATAAAACTGCATCGAAGCAAACCTTCCCATGGCAATAAACAAAATTAAAAGTATAGCCGAAAAGTTACCAAATCTACCACACCAAGCTCAATTACACCTCCCGCAAATGGAAAGCATACTACTGTCTGCAAATCAATACAAACGTTAAGGATTTCAGAACCATGCTACTGTCTGATCACTTGTAACCTATGTTCGTTTTCATATCGGAAAATGAGAATAAATTAAACAGACGGTGAAACTGGATCAACACTGAATAGACGCACTCTGAGAGAGCCGGTTGACAATATTTCCAGGCCATGGAAACAAAAACCGAACCGACATTTACAAGCTTATCAACTGATATTTATAATCTAGCCAAGAATCGAAGCACGTGAAAATGAATCTACCTTTGCAACCAGTGAACGACACCACCTTACTCTCTGCATACTGAGCATTGCAAAGCCAAAAGGATGACCACTTGACAATGTTCTTCCAGGCAATCTAACAACAATTTAGACTATGAATCAACAATCATAAACATTGAATGTTTTCAGTTATTAGAGAGATTGAAGAAAGATTTCCCTTGGCCGATATCGAACACCAACGACATACGAACTAAGTAATACCACTAGGCATCAGTGAGATCTTCTGGAGATAATGCAGCTGAAGGTCTTCTAGCTTGAGGGCTGCCTTCACCAGCTGAAAGGGACTCATAGAGTTCTCTCAGCTGCTCACTTCTCTGCAAACCTAACTGGTCAGCTTTGAGCTCCAAAGGTTGAACTGTTTTCCTTGTCCTTATATCTCCATTGTAATAACCATCTCCCCACTCCAAGACCCTGATATTGCTCACATTGACAGCAAGAACATGGAGATTCATGTTTAAAAAAGACAAATACCTCAAATGCTTTTAGGGTTTAAAGATGGGGCAAAAAGGGAACATTTTGTACCCTGGCTGACTAGCTGATATGGACCAGAAGATCCCATAATTCCATTGGATGTTCCTCACAGCAAGAGCAAGCTGTTTCCTCAAGCTCCCTTGATTTTGGAACCAAGTAGCCATTGGAAAGATATCTTTGGTTGTGGAAATTTCACAAACACTTTATCAGCAAAAAACATGAACTTCAGTTGAAGCTCGTGATTCTTTTATCTAACTACAATGCTCTTGTTTTGTTCATCACAAACAACCCAGAGATCCAAACCAACAGTTCTTTGTTCTTAAAACCATAAAGATGGTTTTTTATTCTGGGGGTAGCTATGAAGCTAGAAAAAGCAGATGAAAATGGGGATAGATGAAAGTGGGCCAAGTTGCAATTAAGTTACTGTAGTTGAGTAAAAACACCAGATCAAAGGAATGAAATTTAGGGTTTGATTCCGTGAAGAAACAAAAGTTCATCGAGTCATTATGTGTCCATTAAACATTTTTCAAGTTGTCGTCATGAATGACTTCATGGGAATGATAAAGAAGAGACAAGGAACAATTATTATGGCACGAGGAAGTGTGATTTACAACAACAAAAAATACAATAATTTCAATCCATATCAAATCTCTTTCAACCAATCTTCAATGTTCAAGCACTCGGTGACTATCTAGTGGTGGATCTAGAAATTTAAGAATGAGGTTTAAAATTTTAATTTTATTTTCTTAAAAATAATAAGTATGTAAAAATTATAATTTTTCTCCCATAACACATTAAACTAAATTTAATAATTTTTTCAAAATAATAAGATATACTTGACCCCTATAGAGATTTAGTACATCCGCCATTGGGGCTATCGTGTTTATAATCATTATGGGATGATCTAATTTTCGACCCATGAATTTGTTAAGTTAATACATTTTGATGCTATAATTTTGATCACCTTTGTTGTAATTTTGTTCAATAATGATCACCAAATTTAAAAATTCTTTTTTTTAAGATTTGATATTCACAGTCGGAGATTTTTACCGTCACAAAAAAATCTCAATAAAGATTTGACATTTACTTTAAATTTGTTCTATCTACTTTTGTTTCTTTTGTTAGTTTCATGTTTGTAAACTTTTTTTTCCTTGCAGTTTTTTAGGTTGTGTTATATTTTTTTTTACAAATTACAATCTTATCATGTTATTGGAGATTTTTTAGATTAATCCCGCTAAAATTTGAGAACAGAAAATGGTTTTGCCGTTCTCCAATAATAGGTGCAAAGTGAATTTGAAGGGGGTTGGATTGACCGGCTACCGATTGCCATTGAGATTAAGACTATTGAATATGGATTGTATATTAAATTTAGGTTACATATTGGATTTAAATTTTAACTAAATATATTTTTTATTTTATTTTGATTCGATCTTGATGAATGAAATTTTAAATCCCAAAAAAACTAATATTTATAATAGACATTTTTAGTTATCTTTTGGGCATAAATAAATCCAAAGTAAGCACACAAAAATTTAAATTAGACATAAATTAAATTTAGACTGAGAACATATATAAAAAACAATTCTTAATAAACTAATTTTAAATTCCAAGGTGGGCACGTGTCCACCTGAAAATCATATAGCTCTGCCACGGTTTGAGAATATAAACCAACAACTCTTGATGAAGCTTATCACTATCCTAACCTTCATATAAATAAATGTAAACATTTATGACTATATACTTCCAACAGATATGCAAACATTCAACTGTACAAAAGGTCAAATTTCCCTACTCCACATTTTTTGTAGATTCTGATTCGCGGGGGCTAACCGGCTTCTTCTCGGGAATTTCAGGCTTCGTTGTTGCTGGTTGTCCAGAACCAACACCTTTAACAGAAGGGCTAACTGGCTTCTTCTCGGGAATTTCAGGCTTCGCTGTGGCTGGTTGTCCCGAACCAACACCTTTGACAGAAGGGGTAGCCGGCTTCTTCTCAGGAGTTTCAGGCTTCACTGAGGCTGTTTGTCCCGAACCAACACCTTTGGCAGAAGGGCTAACCGGCTTCTTCTCAGGAATTTCAGGCTTCCCTTTGGTTGGTCGTCCCGAACCAAGTCCTTTGGCAGAACTTGATGATGGCTCTATTGTAAGTGAGGATGCCTCGTCCCTAGAAGCATACCAGGAATTTCCACATGCAATACATTCCAACTGATGCAAATGGAAGTTTAAGGTTTAACTGTTAAAGATGAAATTACCTAGAATTTATGCATGCAGTTACCTCGAGATTTCCAGAAAATGTGGTCTGATATAATACTTGTGTCCATCCATTTCAGACAAGAAAAAATTATAGTACCATTTTGTACGTCTGGTATATACTTTTTTCTTTAATAAAAAAAAGATATATACTTTGTCTATATTATGCTCTGATAAAAATGTAAATTCTATCCAAAAACAGTTTCCTTACTTAACATGGTTAGTGAACTTTTATGTCGGAAATCTTGTACAAAGACGAATGCATGATCAAGTTGACAACATTGTGCATATGGATCACAGATAAATGCCTGTAGTTTTGGTTATTAGTATCTTGTACATAAACAAGTTCAAAAACTAGTGCATGTGCATGTCTAGCTAGAGTGAAACACAATCAAAGTACGAGCTCAATCAACTTAGCACACCATCAGAGCAGTCCAAGCTTACACTAAATTAGTAACAGTGATGGAATCAGAGATGAAGATATGAGATAACCTGGTAGCGGTCTCCATGTCCTGCTTGGATAATGTCTCTTAGACAGACTTTAAATTCATTGCATCTTGAGCACCGGGCGTCAGTCATCTGCTTTAAGAGTAACAGAACAATCAGTTACATATCAACCATGTTAACAAAGATGTTATCGGATTTTTTGTATGAATTAGGTAGAGAGAACGACCTGCATGCGCTCAAATTCATCAGGCTCTTTCTTGGCTGTCTCTTCAGCAGTTAAACCCTCCTACAGTTGAAATCATTAATCAAGTTCTATTTCCAAATTGTAAAAGGCATATTTAATTGAATTTTTTTAATTTGTCTAAACATAAAAGAAAGAATTACTAAAAATGATAACAAATAAAAAGTTTGCTCCATGGTGGGCTGCCCCCAGAATCCAAGTAGAGCGGCATAAATGAAATTAGTCACAAACAATTGTAAGGTTAAATTTAGTCAAGTCCTTGTGATATTAAAACCAGTTAGTAGGTAATAAATGGCCAACAGATAACCAGGTTCAAGAACCAACATATTTCCACCTGCATGGGGTAGCTATCACTCTTTTAAACTGACATGAAAGAAAATTCAAAACCCTAATAAACTATACCTTTAACTCAGCAGGTGTCATGTTAAGTATTGTTGAAGGCTCTAATTCTCCATTTAGTAGTCGTCGAGCTAGCAATGAATTATTCTGGGAAAAAGAAACAAGAATCAACATCATACTAAATTGAAAGAAGGGAAGATATCTATATAGGCTCATAAGCAGAAAGCACTCGACCTTCAGGTTGAACATAAGCTGCCGTAACTTCTGGTTATATTTCATGTCAGGTGAAAAAGCATCATATGATGCCTTCTCAAGTGCAGTTACAGCGGAAATAGCAGCATCTGGCCACTGAAAAGACTTGTCACCCTGCAAAAGGAGAAGGGCGATAAATATTCTGCAAATCATAGCATCTCTTTAAGCAACTATCAGTCATTTCCTATTGATCACCACATGGGTAAAAAACAAAAAAATAGCTCTACAATAAAAGTTAAACATAGTCAAGAAAGCCACTGCACACATTTGAACTCTTCTCTTGAGATCCATTTGCAGTTCCTGAACTCTTAGTGTCTCTTTCAGGTTCCAAGCTATCAGAACCACCTTTTGCTTTGTCATCAAGTTCAGGAGAACTACACACGTATTGAACAGCTTGGAGAAGCCTCTCCATCCACTTATCACGATGGGTTACTCCGGTTAGCACATTAGCTTTTGACAAAGTTGTGTAGTATTCACTGGTATTACTTGTACAGCTTCCAGGAGTTTCAGCTTTCAGATGTTGATCAGACCTAGGAGTTCCAGTTCCTTCATCACTCCTAGTAACATCAAGAGGTGAAATATTCTTTTTCCTGAGAGATCTTTTTGCCTTTAGCTGCTCTTCCTGATCAACAACTGGAGCAGCAGCATCAGTCTCAAGGTCAGGGAGATCTCCCAAACGTGATAAAGTTTTCTGAACAAGTAGATCGATCTCATGCTGTTTACTATCTTCATAATCTTTATCAGTTAGCTTCCAAAGCTTCCGCTCTACAGTGTCATAAACTCTCTGCACAATAAAGCCCGGATGCTGTTTCCGTTTTGGATGTTGCTTATGTATGGGAACAAAGTGCACCACACACTTGTGCATCACAGATTCTGCAGGAACCTCATCACGATGGAAGCTATAGAACAGCTCTCTGGTATCACGTGACTGCCAGCTTCCACCACCTTTTTTCTCAGCTTCTTCAGGGCGATAAAACCACTGACCGGTAACCATAATGCTCCCATCTTTCGTCTGACTAATGTCCTACAAATAGATAAAAGCTCCATTATTTGCAAAGGAAAAGACTAAAAAGTATTTCGAAAATAAAGAAACTAAAAATGTATTACCAAACAATGCAATTACCTTAATGATGGCCACATAAGGCTTCTGCTCCTGATCTTCAGGAACTAAAAGAACTGGATCCTCCTGTAGAGGAACGCTAGAAAACATAAGTAATGACATAAAGGTGAAAAGTCACAAATTGGTAAAATTGACCATTTAAGTGAAGAATAACATTACCCAAATCCCCAAACTACAGCTGCAAACAAAATAAACCAGAATGTCACAAAAATAGACCACTTGAATATTCAGTAACAGCTTTTCTCAGATCAGTTCAACATCCATACTCGTTTTTATGATTCATAAAATATTAATTCCAACTTCTACTAGCATAAAACTGCTATAGGTGAACTTGTAATGAACCAAAAAACCAACAAAATAAACATAATTCATAAAAATTATACTTATTTAAAAGGGTAACCAAAAAACATAACAATAAAACCGAAGTTAAAACTCATTTATACCAGGAACCAGTGTTTCATTTCAGCTTTCTTTGCCCAAAAATCACTGAGAATCTATAGATACTATTGTCACTTTCCACAACTCAAAATCCCTAAGACGCTAAAGAAAGTATTATCACTCTTCACAAACTTGGAAACATCTATAATCAAAACCCATAATTGCCATAAAGAAATAATAAAACCAAAAGCATTTTACATTAAACTCTTCAAAATTAAAATTGAAAAAAGTGACCCAGGGAAAGCACCTTCAGCCACTCAGAGGAAGAATCACTTTATAATCGTTGAAATCAATTATGAAATCTGACAATTATAAAAACAATCAACAAATCAGATAATAAATTCATATAAAAAAAGAACCAACAAGCCAAAATGTTCAGAACCCTAATTCCCACTAAACCTATCAAACCAAGCCGCACAAAAACAAAACACAAGCTCCTAAACAGAAACCTCTAAATTCAGAATCCAAACACTAAAAAAAAGAAGCGAAAGCCCTTAAAGAATCCAAAATGAAAGTAAGAAACTCACGAGATCATATCGATTTCCGTCGAACTCAAAAGCTTCATAATGACTCCTCCTTCCTCTTCCTTTCCCAGAAACCCTAATAGTATCCCCTATCGGCTTTGCATCCTCCTGAAGTGGCTCTTCCTCCTGTTCTTCTTCTTCTTGTTCTTCTTCCTTCGTGACCTCGTCCTTTTTCTTCTTCCTCTTCTTATTGTCCCTCTCGTCCTCTTCATCGTCCTCTTCAAGCAGCTTCATTTTCTTCCTCTTCCTTTCCGGCCTCGAATCTTCCGATCGGGACCGTCGGGGAGGTATCGGAGCTTCGTCCTCGTCGTCGCTAGTGGACACCTGAGCGAACCTTCGGTTTCCCATTCCGGACCAAAGCTTTCTTCTTTTTGCGGGTATTTCGTGAGGTTTTTAAATGTCGTGCTCAAACTTTGATGAAGGCTTATATAGGAAATCGATTTCGATTTAACGGAATCAGGCTTGATTTCTCTAATATATTACCATAATACCATTGTTTCAAACTCCATTATCCATATTTTTTTAACTCGTCATTTTTATATAAAAAATTATCGTCTAAGATAAATGTTAACGTATTAATTGAGATATGATAAAATTTGATTTTAAAATCATTTAAGTTATATGTTGTGGATCGACTCTCCATTTACATTATATCGTTAAGATAGTGTTTGAAATATTATGTTGTCGAATTAGTGCTTAAAAGCAACGATAATGTTAATAGACAATTGAAATGTGATTTTATCATGTATCGGTAAGCAAATTAACGTTCAACTCATATGATAATCATTTTTAATGAAAAATGACGAATTTAGAACATATAAATTTTATAATTTTTATGAACTCAACAAAATAACGTCATATAACCAAAAGATTATTTTTATAATTTTTAATAATAAAAAAATTCAATAAAACAACATCCTGTAATTAGGGAATCATTTGTGTCCTCTACATAACGTTAGGAGCGATGGATGTGATTGTCAATAACGATACATCTATATTAACTTGAGCAAATAATAATAGAATTAAATATATTATAAGACGAGAATAAAGAAAAAAATTAAATTTTGAAGTAGTAAATGAAGAAAACGTAGATAATCCGAATGTAAAACACATCATAAATTCTTATTATATACTCTTTTATACTACATTCAGTAATATACTTAGACGGGACGATCACCTCTTGAAAATTTAAAATTATCTTATATTTTAATTTTTTTTCTATTTATTTTCTATTAAAATATGTTTTTACCCTCTAAACTTTTATAAATTTAAATTTAACTCTTAAAATTTTATAAATTTATATTCGTCTTGTAACATAAAATGTTACGTCCGTCCACACTTACTCCGAGTCCAAACAAAATAGCTAACTATATGACTTCGAGTATAGAAAACACCACAAGTTCATTGTATACGTATTCGGCATTTATTTTGAGTCTAAACAGAATAACTAACTAAACACCACAAGTTCATAGAAGACACGACATGATCATATTTGATTTCCATCAGGCTCTTGTGCACTTCATCGAAGTGAGGATTTGTAGCATTTCTCGTGCTCTCCATCCACTGCTGAACTTTCTTCTAAGGACCCAACAGCCTGTTCCGATCCGCCTCGTCCAGAAGCTCGAGTTGCATTATGCCACAAACGAGGCTAAGATCGGCGATCGATGGTTGGTTTGCACGAGCAAAAACGGTCCGTTACCCTCGACCCAAAACAACTCGATCTTCGATAGAGCTGCGGACAGGATCCACAACAGAATTCTGAACAATTGTGACTGTAAAACACAAGCATTAATATACATAAACACAACACAATCATGATAGAACTATAGGGTTCGATCTATTTCAGTGTTAAATTATTATGCACCTGAACCACGGCGTAAGATGGAGTGATGCCAATCCTACACCGAGTGTATCTTGCTTCTCTTGATAATATCAGACGGATACCTTGAAAGAGAGTCACAAAAACTCGTTACGATCCGATTCGACTGCACAACTTTCTGACAGTGTCGAGTTTGTGCTTGGATCGAACTTTGAATCGGATTGACACCGACTTTTCCCAAATAAATAGGAAAATATCTACACAGATTCAAATTAAAACAATTTAAATCAACACTATAAAATGAGATGACACGGATTAATTAATAACAAAATATGAACCAAATAAATCACTCGTCACTTTCGGTCACACGAGAACAGGGACGGACACAGTGTCAGGTGAAGAAATCTGAACAAGCGACTGCACTTACCAGTGGTCAGCAACTCCAGGATATGAACAAGCAAGATAGATAAGAATGGCATGGCTGCAACAAACAACAACCAAAGTAAATAGACAAATAATGAATCATAATGGAATCTTTGAACTAAGGGGTAGGATAAAAGGGGTTCTTATTTACCTCTCAAAGAGCTTAAATTCTACATCAACAATGGCGGGCAGCTGATTCATGGGATTAATTTCTGCAAAGAAACCATTGGGAGAAAAAAACCAAAAACAATTTATAAAAAGGAAGATGATGACATAGTTCTAAAAAGGAAGAAAAAGTACTTGCAGAAGATGATGACAGCTCGAACTGGCTGAGATAGGCGATCTGAGTAAACATTTAGCTTCATGTCTCTATACTTTCTTCTGTGTTTTTCTCTTAGCTTCCTTCTTTGTTTAGCCTGCTATGCTTCTTAACATCCCAGCTTCTGATATTTTAGTGCCCGGGTATAGACCTCCAATAATAGGTATAGAAAAATTAAATTGGAAGAGCGAAATTTTTTTTTTGTTTATATATAACTTTTTATTATATTTAATAAATTATATAATAAATATATGAAATTTTATATAGAATTCGTCAAAAAAATTATTAAACACCTAATTATTCATGCAGAATAATCATGATCCTCAAAAGAGGTCCAGAATTAATTTTAACTTTCCCTACTTGTTTAAAAAATAATTAAATATAATTAAATGAAAAATAAAAAAGTAATTTAAAAATATCACCGTTGAGGAGTGGAACATAGACACATAGTGGATTAGTGGTGCCATGTGGGGGCTATGGCCCCCACAAAAAAGTTTGAAAATTTTAATTTTAGATCCATAAATTTTTCAAAAATATTAATTTGGCCCCACAAAGTTTTTATAAATTCATATTAAGTTTTAATATTTTTGAATGTTTTTAATTAAACACTTACTATAATTTTTTAAAATTCTCATTAAATCTCTCAATTTTTTTTAAAAAAATAGTTAGATCCCATTTTTTTTTGAAAATATGTAAACTGAATACTTCAATTTTTTTGAAAAATCTTAAATTAAACCTCTATAATTTTTAAAGTTTTAAATTGATCCCTCAAATTCTATGACCAAGTTATGCCACCGTATACATGTAATGTATAAATTGTTTGTGATTTATTATAATTATATACTTCAAAAACTATTAAAAAAATTAAGGAATTTCAAATTCATAAATTTCTTAATTATAATATCTTCTACCAAATCAAATATATATATATATATATATATTGATGGGTGAAAACTGGGTCAGCATATAAGTTTCCATGCCCGTTCTTCCATGAAAACAAAACCCTATTCTTGGTGTGTTATATAGGGATGTACCTTTCATTGCGTAACCTTAACACTCGTCGATTCATATCATCCACTTAATTTTAAACCCTAGTTATTGCTTTTAGCATTTACTAATTAAGGAAAGTTTGAAATTAACATGCATGCAATGGCCCTGAGTTGAATCGGAATCCTATATCAATGGTTCGAGGTCGAGATCAAACAACTCACTCTCGTTGTCTTCCACAAACCCTAATTCTCCCTCTTTTTCTTTCTTCTTTATTTTGTTTTCCTTCTTTCTTTGCCATCTGGACCTAAGGTTTTCTTATCAAGAAGGAGATGGCATTCAGTGGGACAACAGAGAAATGCAGGTCTTGTGATAAGACTGTTCATTTCTACGACATGACATCTGCTGATGGAGTCCCTTATCACAAGACTTGCTTCAGATGCAGCAAATGCAATGGACTCCTCACTGTACGTATACGTATAAATACATATATACATACACACGTACGCGTATCGTGTTTATACGCGTCTTTACTACATGAACGAACAACTTAATTAACACCTATTGTGTACAGGTGAGCACCTATTGTGCAAGGGATGGTGTCCTTTATTGCAAACCTCACTTTGAGCAAGTCTGCAAGGCGATTGGAACTTATACATCCAAAGGTGACAAGAAAAAAAATGGAATGCATTGATATTTAACATTCACATTTGATTCTCTAATGATGTTTTTTTAATGATTTTTCAGATAAACCTAAGCCAAATGGACTGGTAAACTCGAAATTTCCTTAAAAAATCGTATTATTTACGATGTTGATGTGATTATTCATATGTTCGAATTGTATTGTTTTGTTTATACAGCAAAGGGCTCCGAGCAAAGTTGCAGCCATGTTCTCTGGCACTCAAGAGAAATGTGGAGTCTGCAAGAAAACTTGCTACCCATTAGAGAAGGTCTACTAATTAACTAATCGTATTTTTCATCTTATATATATATATATATATATATATATATACATATATATATTCGTGTCCGATTTTCGTGTCTAACGTATTTTGAACATGTTCGTGTACGTTAATGAATCCGGGGTACATTAACAGGTGACTGTGGAGGGAGAAATATATCATAAAAACTGCTTCAGGTGTGCACATGGAGGTTGCTTCCTTACAACATCTTCATATGCAGCATTAGACGGCTTCCTGTATTGCAAGCACCACTTTTCACAGTTGTTCAAGGAGACAGGCAGTTACAGTCACCTCACCAAGACGACCTCGATGAAGAAACCTTCCTGCGGAGAAGCCGATTCGGAGTCGAAAGGGGACGATATCGAAGGGACGAGCACGGAAATCGAGGCTCAGACTGAAACTGCTGAGGAGCATGACCAATGATGGGAATGCTTAAAAACTTGAACCTTTCATGGGACATTGTTGAGCTTTAAAATCTCAGTACTTTGGTGTTTGATCTCACTATTATCAAAGGGAAACCAAGATTGTTGTATCCCTTCGAATTCATTTGTGTGGAGCTTTTTACTATGACAAGGTACGTACGCAATATATTATGTTAGAGGGAACAAACTTGAAATTTTAAAATTTTAAGAGAGGCGAATTTAAATTTATAATTTTTCAGAGGACAAAAACTGATTTTCAATAGAAATATATAGAAAAAATCTAAAATATGTGACAAATTTAAATTTTCAGTGGAAATAACTAGGGTTGGGCACGGGATTCGAATCCGACGTGTTCCAACCTAACCCGATCAGATTGGAATTTTTTAATAAAAAAATCAAATTCAAATTGTGTCGGTACTCCTCTTTATATTATTTTTTCCAATTAAATCCCTATTTATTAAATA